ATGGTTTATGCAAGGTCAAATTCCACTTTTACTCTGTACGCACCTTGACATGGTTCATAAAATTCTCATAGATGGCTGTTTATACTAATAAATCAAATCAAAGCTCTAATTACATAGACCCTTTTATAGTTCTTTTTCACTTTAATATAAATCGTTTGACTTTCATTCGTAAAGGAATTGCATTCATAAATCTGACTGAAGGCAATTAGACTATTCAACATCAATTAAGATACTTGTCTTTCAAACACTACTTTTATCCATTCATGACTGCCGAAAAATTATTTATTCTTCTAGCGCATTATCGGTAAAAGTTTCGCTGTTGCTGTTTACCAAACGTGAAAGTAAACTCTTGTCATACAACAGGCTCATTTAGTAAAAATTTTTTTATTTTATAAGCTCTCAAAATTCGTATAAAACTATACTTTGTACTCTCAATCCAACCGTTAAAAACTTTTGCCAAACCACAAAACAAATAGAACACTTTTAACGGTGTCTTCCATCATTAAATACAGTCGCACCTCGATATAGTCACAAATATGAATACGTAAACTTCTCTATAGTCACTGTCACACCCAATTTTGTTTCCCAACTCCGTTACTATATCGAGGTGCGACTGTACATAACAAAAATCACCACTTCTCGCATTCAATTCCAATAAAATTTATCTCATTTTTACATCATTTTTGAGCAAATTTACAGTTAGTCAAGCTTTTATCATACGAGACGAATTAATAATCAATTGTCGTTATACATGTACATGTATAAATCGCTGATTCAATCTGCATGACTTCTCTGTTCTCTGTTTTCAGATTAACACAATTATTTGTAAGACAAAAAGCATTTAAGACGAAGCTTAAGTACAACTAAGAGTAGGCGCAATTAATAGTAAAATAAATTATTAAACAGATAAAGCATCTTCTTTTTCATTTTAATTGAGCCACTGTTTCTCGCAAGCTGTAAGCCAATACCGAGTCAAAATAACTCTAAAAATTTATTTATACTGGTTCATGAATCAGTTTTCAAGCTGGCTTATGAGCCAATATAAATAAAAATTTTTAAATTAATTTTGACTTGTGAGCTGGTTCATGTGTAGATTTCTAATGTCATCATCCTTACCAAGAAACTATATCATACAAATTTTTGCAAAAATACAGACATTTAGTATTAATAATTCAAAATTTATAAACGTCATTTTTTGGCAAATGATAAAAAATGACAACAAATGACATTTATAAATTCGAAACAAATTGCTTATATTGTGAAATATAATACTTTAAATTCGAATGTATTCCCTCTGAATCTTAATTTAGTCAGTAAATCAATTATATTCCTGCAAATGAATAAAACAAGACTCACAATGTAATTCTTCAAAAATTTATGTTACTAAAATAATAGCTTCGAGGTCCTTTTTTTTTTTTTAATAAAACTGGTAATTTTACTACAAAATGAATACCATAAAATTCATAGACGGCGTAATTTCTTCAAAAATTTATGTCACTAAAGTAATAGTTTTGAGGTTAAATTAAGGGATACTTTATTCAGCGGTATATACTTACATATTGCAATAAAAAATATACTGTTATTTTAGTTTGAGAAAGGAATCGTTATAAAACAAACAAGGTCATGTCTGAATGGATCCAATGAGGAGTTATAATAAAAATTAAATTTTATTAGCGATTGAAATCAGTGTATATGCGCGTTGATAAAATAATTCATAGAAAATAAATAAATAAAATATATCGACGAGTGCTCTAAAGTGCAGCAGTATATTTTATAGTTTAAACTATTACGGAACAACTAACGCTAGCTGTAAATCAATATTCGATAGTTATGGAATATGCAGAAAAGGGCGATCTTCGCAAAGAAATTACATGTAATTCAAACTACGTACGTATGTATGAAGCTTTAAGTTGGGAAGAAAAATTAAGACATTTGGTTTGTGTAAAATTCACCAAGAGGGATTTGTGCATCGCGACTTACACCTGAGAATGTATTAATGCATCGTGTTTCCAGTATTGCAGATTTTGGCCTTGCCAGCCTAGCAAATAAAAAAAATCTTTCCAGATGGAGCAAATTTATTATTAAAAGTGTTTGAATCCTATTCCAGAAACAGACCAACTGCTGAGAAAAATTTACCACTTTATCAGCTCTATCTTCGCATGTTGAGCACCTAAATACAATATACAAAATAAATTTTTGATTAATATGAAATATAAATAATAATTAAATTTGCTTAAAATGTACCTTATTAGTTGGAATTGAAATTAGTCTCTAGTAAAGATTCGACTAGTGTAAACTGCATTGTGTGGATTTTTTTGTTTTAATAGACTTCTTCTCATCAAATTCATTTAATTTCTGCATTTCTAATTTAAGATACTCCTTAATTTGTTCACATGTTCTAGAATATTCTAAAGAGGTATAGTAATGAAAATGCAAAGTATTCGGCTTCCACGCCTACAAGTGTTAGTTTGTTTGTTCCAAATGAGGGTAAGCTCACTATTTATTCTTTTTTGAAAAATACAATAATAGCAATCAATCTATTAAAAATGCTTGTTTTGCATACAATTCTAGCATATGTGACTACTGAATTTGATATAGATATTGATGACAAATCTACAAACATCCGTTTATATACATAGATTCTTCTAATGTTCCGAAAATTGGAATTGCATAGACTTGCATACGAATAAAAAACATAGGTCTACTCAATAAATTTTATATTGAACCCAGAACCGAATGTAACCGAGAATCGAATCGTTAGGAACCTTATCTTCTTCAGCTATCCTATAAGAAAATACATTTGTCAATTTCAATATATATTTCTGTAAAAAAGTATGAAAATATATGAATAAGTCTGATATGCCTGTAAAAGACATATAAAGGTCACTTTTTACATATCGATATATAAACACGTAATTGAGTATGTAAAAATGGGACAACAATCTTTTACAGACATATTACGCGCAAATATACTTATAGGGCTATAAACTTAATTTCACTAAATTCGTCATAAGGAATACACTCAAACCAGGTATTGTTACCAAAAATGAAAGTAGCGAGTCTATTCTTTCATTGATTTTATCATCTCACAAATTTCATCTTTTTATTTCATATTTTTTGACATTTGGACAATTTCCTGTTTCTTCCCCATTCTAATATTTGAAAAGCAACAGCAACAATATTGTTATTACTGTGGATTGGTTCAAAAGAATATATAGCGATAGTAATTTCTAAAAAAAAACTTGGATATACATGTATTTGTAGAAAATAGACTTTAAATACATACATAATCGTAAAATGTTAAAATGTTGAATATAAAACTAAGATATAATCAAATTTGATGGGTGTTAGCAACAAAAGGGGAATATTAGTTTGCTTCCCATTTACCAATAAAATCAAAACACATCGAGATGCATAAAAAAGAATCGATTAAACGCTCAAAATTCAATATATTGCATAAAATAATTTGGATATACTCCTACAAATAATAAAATGGAAAAGCAAAGTCAGATTAAATGCACAATAAAATAAATAAGAAAATAAATAAATGACTACATACTGTCATCCATTGATGACCTTTCTAATTTGATGCCATAACTCCAAACCAACTTTCCATGATGCGCATTAAAAGTAAAGGGACAAAGGGGAAGGTATTCCAAGTTTTGATGAGTAACCACCAGAAAGTGAAATGCCTCCTTTGATATTTGATGTGCTTGGCATGAAGCTTTTAGTCTAAGAGATTTAATTGTGGATCGAAGCTCTCTTGCCAGAATATTCAAAAATATGTCATCTAATTTTTGGTATGTATTTCCAGATGATAAAGATTTGGGCATGCTTCCATTAGAATAGACAGATCATTTCCACCAAGGTCATCGGGCCAATCGAGTGTCCGAGAATTAAGAATCATTAAATAAAATAGATTGTCAACGTGATACTTAAAATCTTTAATAATTTGCAGACGAAGACGTTGGGAGCATTGCCACTAGCTTTGAAGATTTCCCCTAATAATTTAAATGACAGATCATCATATTTTAAAAGTTCAATTGAGAAATATTCCAATTTTTGAAAACATTTAGCCGTATCAAACCAACATGGCTGTTCTAATGCTGTGCACTTCCAAAAACTTAAACAGATGAGATTGACACACGAGCTCAGTCCTGGAATTACGCTATCAGCACGAAAACAATCAAAGTTGAGATCAGCAAATTCAATAGCTCGCAAGTTGTTTGATGAATAATAAAGAGCCTCACAAATAATTTTGATTGCGGTGTTGGATATATTATGTAGTCGGACCCATTCTAATTCCCTTTGTGTATTCATCATGTGTTGCAAGGCTTCAACTGCTTTAATTTTTATGTTTGTTTTTACAGTTGTGAATTTAATATTACGTTCTAATGTGATGTTTTTAATCAGATTTTAAAAAAATTTGTGGCGATTTCTTCCTAATGAAAAATCATTAAAGCTTTGTTCCTTAAGATTTCCAAATAACTTTTGGGTTGAGCATTCTTTAAGGATCAGATTCCAGAATTTCTTCTCAATTGCAAGACTAATACTTAAAAATGCAGAGATGCTGATTAATTTATTAAAAGTCTGATCAAGGAATCTGCCAATGCTATCAGTTTAGCCGGAAAATATTTATCTAGCCATGCAGTTGCTACGTAGTATACTTGCGTTGGATTACAGTAACGTATAATAAACGTCGGTTGTCGTACAGTCAGTGGTCGACTAATTTGGTGTTTGGATCGTAGCGGTAGCTACTCCTACAAATAGTGAAATCTATCGCTACTCGTTATCGTTATTGCTATTGCATGAATGTATACCGATATCGAAACTTTAGTGTTAGGGTTGATAAGTGTCAGTTTATGTTCCAAATTATGTTTAATAGTAGTATTTTATTGACTTCATTAATTCATATATTCTCTCGTCACATTAAAAAATTCAACACTAAAATATTAGAAAGCTTCTTCACTTGATCTTGGCATCATTAGTTGTACAAATGACTATTTGTCTCCACTAGCCAATTCCATGGGGTCGTGCCACGCATCTCTAAGCAGTTTCAATATATCAATATCATCTTGATTCCATTTGCCCAAATAATTACACACGGTTTTATCCAACCCGAATGCACAGAGACAATATTGTCTCTGGGATTCTAAAAGCCTTGCCTTCTTATTCGGTCTTGTGTTTAAGTTTGGTGTGCCGCTAATGTCAAATCCGCGTAATTTCGATGTTGGAGCTCCCAATTGGATATATAGTAACAGATAAGGTTTATCTTTGTTTCCTGTAGTCTCGTTATTTTCAAAGACGTATTCCTCTGAAATAACTCGGGTGTGATATGACTAATACCATCCCAATCCAGCTAAACTGGTATTGTAATGTCTATTCATGCTTGGCTACAGTTGCAACTGCGAAGCGAATGAATAAACTCCTTAATTTAATTCTGGTTGGGATCTAAATAATCGTGTAAAAGCCATTAATCCTTCGGCTAATCTTGGGGGAAGTTTTTAATAATAGTGTTATAATTTTTCCGGCCAAAAAGAGACATCAACTTTAATTGGCTGTGAAACAAACTTCTTGCTTCCATATCCCAAATTTTTTAAGTGTAATAGTGCTGGTGACGATGATATTTCACTCCTAGTAGCCTGGTCCCAAACCACAATTAAAAGTAGATGAACGATCAACTCTTCACGATAACCAGGTCCCACATATCAGAAACGTAATACCTCCAGGAGAAAGTTTAGTAATTTTTTGAAAATTATCTTATGGCTCATAAACGACACTGCAGCCTCAGCAACTATCGGTTCAGAGAGTAGAATGTCAACATTCTATCCCGATTCTCAAAAAACGTGAGCGCATATTTCCATGAAACCGGAAACTAATTCTGAAGCAACATGTTATTTTTTATATTAAGTGATTTTAATTGAGAGACGAGAAGTTAAATGGCGAGAGCGGAATTTAAAATCGGTGCTTTAAGCCATCTCTCATAGAAGTTTTTTGTTCTGCAAGCGTCAAAGCTCTTTGATGTTTGCGTCATTGCTTAAAGCTCGCCCCCACAAGAGGCGCCCTAGCGCGCAAACAAGTCTCGTAAGCTCAATAGCCGGTCGGAGCTTGAATCAGTTTTAGAAACAAATCAAATGTAGGTATAAGATAATATTGGGGAAAAAGTTTATTCACGCGCGAATAAAGTTGCTGAATGAGTAAACTTAATCAAGTCTGACATTGCAAAAACTCCTGAAAAAAAACAATGCAAAGCTCGGCGAACATGAATGAACGGAGTATTTTCCCCTAAATACGATTCCTGTAACGTAACAAAGATCGTGATTCAAAGCAAATATAAGTTTTACCTTTGTTTAACAGTTTTTGATAAATTAGGTCTTACTTTTTCCAAATTTCTGCGATTTGTTCTTCACAAAAACTCTCCATATTATACACTTGTTCTTGTTCTTTCGTTGAACCTATATTCCATCGGTCCATTAACTTGGATGTAAGATCTGATTCAAAGTCATCAGAATTGTTGTAAATGATTCCATCATCAATGGATTTGTCATTAAGAAGTTCCATGCAGCAGTAAAAAAATGGTATCGCATCAATCATTATATTTCTGCTCTCCGTAAGGAAAAAATTGCGAGCTATTTTTGTTGGTAGTGGAAACCCTGAACCAGAGTGTTGGCGAAAGCACAAATATAAACAAATCATTTTTTAGAGAAACCTGTTCCCGGAGCCTTGGAACAGAATTATATATGGTGAATGATAATCACTATAAGAAGCACTTGCACAATCATCAATATCTTTTTCAAATTTCTGTGATCGTCTTTATATGGTGTTTGCTTAAAAGCTTGTTCCATCAATCCTGTAATTTTAATTCATCGTAGCCAGGCAATTAAAATAAGTGCCAAACTGACGGAATCAATTCAGACAAAAAACGGCTACTTACTTTTCAGATGCTCGCGCAGTTCCGGATTATAGTCCAGTTTCGCTAGAACAAAAATATCGTAATTCCATAATTTTTACATTATGATGTATCATAATTTAGACCAATGATAATCATAATGATTTTCCTTTTTCTTTTTCACTTTGTACATGTATTGTTCTCGTTAATTCAAGAATTGTTAGAATAAATGAATTAACAAAGTAACAGTGAAAGAACAAAGACTGAATGATTTACGATTAATGGGGTTCACTAAAGGTTCTAAAGGTCTCCTGTGGTAGCTTTTATGCAAACTAACTTAATATTAAAGATAAAAATAGGGGCAAGTGTGATAATTTATCAGGAATGTAGGATCACAATAACTTAATACATGTACTCCACAATTAGTTTTGAATTTAAATTGTCGTTCGAAATTTCGAATAACTTAAATTCGCAATTTTAATTTTTCCCTTGTAGATGAGGATGATGTTATTATGATTCTGAAATCCAAAAAATTTGGAATTAGTATAAAACTTATTCATCACATGCTTTTACCAAATTATGACTGATGAATTGTATCTGCACCATATATACTTCTTAATTCTTGCGCGAGTTGTTTTGCTAAATTTAACCCAGTCAAGTTGGGAAAATTTGTATATAAATAATCTATTGTTGTGTATGGTACTCTAAATTAGAAGTTATTTAAGAAAATTTTACTATACACATAATTATGATACAACTATGTGTATATTTATTTACCTTTAGTGATTCCATAAAAGCGAATTATATTTTGTTATGGTTAAGTTTAATAAGAATTTCAACTAAGAAATATTTGATACAATACGTGAATTATAAGTCTTTAGTTATTAGTTATTTTCTAGGTATAATAAATGAATACCTCTTTGACAAATTTTTTATTTGCTTCTTCTGCGTGCCTCTCGTCACTTGGATAATGACTTTTAAGCTAAAGTCAAATCTTTGCTTGTCACTTCTGCTTTATAAACTTCGCAAAACGTTCCATATCCGATGACTCTTCTAAAAATTTTATTTGATTTCTTTTCTTGCGGATTGTATTCATTTATTTCCGTTAAATAAAGATACTGTCTTTTTTTGCTGACATTGTGGTCGATATCGTTCATTTAGTTTCGTCAAAAACTGTTTAAATATGATACATGTATTCTACATTTATAATGTACGCATTGACGGGAATACTGTAATCAAGTAACAAAAATGACATTATCGCGTTTTTTATAAGTAGATTTTCGAGAATAATTTTTATATGAATAAAATAAATAAATGTAATGATAAATATATAAACACAAAGAAGTTGATAACAATAAACAATAGAAACCGTTTTCTCTGATATTTTTAGACAATAACAAATTAAACTTTTTAGTGCTGTTAATTTAATTTAATTTAATAAAAGTATAAATAAAGTACATATTTTATTGTTGGTGTTTCGTCATGAATTTGTAGTTTGGTTGTATGGTGCATGAACTCTTAAATCGACAATATGTTTCAATTTTAAAATGCTACTACTCAACATAGAGGCAAAATTTTCAAAATCTGACCGGTAACTTTGTAGAACTTGTTATAAAGAACAAAGTTACCGGTCAGATTTTGAAAATTTTGCTTCTATGTTGAGTAGTAGAATTTTAAAATTGAAACATATTGTCGATTTAAGAGTTCCTGCACCAAAAGACATTTGATACTTCTTCATTGTCTTTAACGTTAATTTCAACTATTTGATTTCACGTGGTTGTAATATTTCTACGTTAAATCGAAATCTGTTTTGTACCACAAAAGAAGCGATAGTCATTGATAATATCGATATTAAATTTACCTTCGTTTGGAACAAACTAACTGACACTTGGAAAACCTAAATATTGTATTCGAAATGCTACCTTTAATTGGAATTGAAATTAATGTTGAAGTAAAAAATACGACTGCATTTGGGTGTATTTGCTGTTCTTTGCTTATACAGTATTTGTATGAATTCACCTCATTAGTTCATCTATTTTTCTTTCCAGATTAAGACACTTTAATTTCTTTATCGTATCGTTATATGTTTAGAATTTTCTAAAGAGCTGTCCTTTAATAGACCTAATAAAGCAGGGTTGACGTTTCGGCCAGATCAGCAGATAAATTTACAAATATAGTAATTTAATTTCTTTTTCGGTAATTTTGGCGGTTAAAAATAAAAAAATCGGCCAAAATGCCAACCCAGTGATAAAGTATTCAAGATCTTTAACAGTTGCTTGTTTTTCGGAATAGAATCCCAACATTTTTCAATAATAAATTGCTCCATCCTGGATCCATCCAACTAGGTTATAAATTGGTCCAAAAATTATTTTGCAAATGATCCATACGAAAGTTCTAAATTCTTGCATTATTTATTCTTTATTTTCACCAGACCATTCAGCTTTACGTATAAAGTTGAAAATAAGCAACCCTCCCTCTTGAGCTTTCAAAGTCTTAGAAAAGTTGAATAAGCAACCCCTATATAATAGATATGTATATATACTGAAATGTTCGTCTCACTGAGACGAATCTAACGAGCTATAGCACACTCGATTTAGACAAATTGTTGCCGAGAGATTTACATTTTGCGAAAGACTCGAAAATAAGCAACCCCCTTTAAAATCGATCTAAAAATGATGACGTAGAGGGTTGCTTATTTTCGGGACTTTACGGTACATGCATCTATGTACACCCCACCCGATTTGGTAATAACAAAAATAACCAATAACATTGCGTATTTTCGGAAATTTCTACTGTAATAAAGATTAAGGTTAAAGGATGGTTTAAGATTAGGGTTAGGGTTACGGTTAAGGATGGTGATCCAGGTTATATATAAAATTGTCTTCTCGACATTTTTCATTAGTACTCCGGACATTTCTCGCATTTTCATTTTTTTGTGTCGGTTTGATTTACCGGGTTGATCAAAAATTTATGCATTCTTATTGGCTGTTTTTTATCATAACCAAATCGGGTGGGGGGGTACATACGTATGTACATGTACATGTACATGTATTTGGATCTGCGTTTTGTTTATTCAGTATATATAAAAACGACATATCATTGAATCCGTTTCTACACAACCACAATGTCAAATGCGAATGCATCAAAGCCAATATCTTCATTTAACAGGAATAAATGGATAGAAGCTGCAATAAAAGAAAATCAAATAAAATTTTTCGATTTTAATGAATTTTCCGATAAAAGAGTCATTGGATATGGAGCGCTCGGTGAAGTTTATAAAGCAGAAGTGAAAAACAACGATTTGACTGTAGTTTTAAAGAGTCTTTATCTAAGTGACGAGAGTCATACCGAAGAAATGAATAAGAAATTTATCAATGAGGTATTTACCATATCTAGAAGAGTAAACAAATAACTAAACTCATGCATTATATCTAATATTTTTTAGTTGAAAATTCTTATTAAACTTGAACATAACAAAAGCGTAAATCACTTTTACGGAATTACTAAAGGTAAATTAATGTACGTACGTGCATAATTATATATATTAGAAATTTTCTTAAACGACTTTTAAATTAGAGTACCATACACAAAAATACATGATTGTTACGAAATACGCTGATGGCGGAACGCTTGCAAATTATTTATACACAAATTTTTCCAACTTGACTGGGAATGATAAGTTAAATTTAGCCAAACAACTTGCACAAGGATTAAAAAGTATGCATAATGCAGACATAATTCATTGTGATTTGGTAAGCATGGCATCTAAATGTAAGGAATAATTTTATCAAATTCTGTACTAATTCTAAATCTTTTGATGCCAGAATCATAATAACGTCCTCATACACAAGGGAAAAATTAAAATTGCGGATTTAGGCTATTCGAAACTTTCGAACGAAAATTTAAATTCAAAAACTAATTGCGGAGCATTTAGCTATATTGATCCCACATTCTTGAGAGATACGGAAAATTTTCAACTCAACAAAAAATCAGATATTTACAGCCTCGGTGTTTTATTTTGGCTTATCTCTAACGGTTGTATTCCAAATCAGTACAAATTTGCTTTTAATGAGAAAGAAAAACCATTTCACGAAACACCTGATAAATACATTGAGTTGTACCAAGCATGTTGTGACAATTTACCTGAAAATCGACCTGATATTTATGAAGTAAATCAACAACTTAATAAGATCGAGTGGCCACCGGAATCAAACAATGTGATGTTTCATAAATATTGCGAGATTGTTGACGGATTAGTAACTCTATTAAATAATTTACTCAACAAAGAAGGAAGTTTAGATAAAATCGGCGCCGAACTACAATCGTATTACGACTTATGCAGTGAGCATCCTTTTGAAATACAGAGTTATTCGAAAGATGATGCTCAATATAAATTACTTTTAGGGTTTCTTTATCAAACTGGATCCATAGTTGAAAAGAATGTTGCATTAGCATTGAGCATTTATAAAGAATTATCAAATGATAACTCTTTAGCTCAACTCTTTCTAGGATATGCCTATCGAGAGGGAATCGGAACACAAAAAGATGAGAAAGAAGCATTTGAGTGGTTTTTGAAATCAGCGGAGGGTGGGAACGCAAGAGGACAATGTAGGCTTGGTCGGTGTTATAATCTAGGAATCGGGACACCAAAAGATGAGAAAAAAGCATTCGAGTGGTATTGGAAATCAGCAAAAGGTGGAGATTATCTAGGTCAAAACAATCTTGGCTGGTGTTATGATGAAGGATTCGGAACACAAAAAGATGAGAAAAAAGCATTTGATTGGTATTTGAAATCAGCAGAAGGTGGATGTACAATAGGACAATGTAATCTTGCTATATGTTATGAAAATGGTATAGAAACAGAAACTGGTGTAGAAATACAAAAAGATGAGAGAAAAGCATTTGAGTGGTATTTGAAATCAGCGGAGAGTGGAAATTTTATGGGTCAAAACTATCTTGGTTGGTGTTATGATAAAGGATTCGGAACACAAAAGAATGAGAGAAAAGCCTTCGAGTGGTATTTGAAATCAGCCGAGGGCGGAAATTCGATAGGTCAAACAAATCTTATTTGGTGTTATAGGAATGGTATGGGAACGCAAAAAAATGAGATAAAAGCATTCAAGTGGTATTTGAAAGTAGCAGAGTCCAGATATACAGAAGATAACGACGACGACGAAGAGGCTAGAAACGCAGAGGGACAATATAGTCTTGGTATCTGTTATGAAGAAGGAATTGGTACCTTTAAAGATATTAGTAAAGCTATTAAATGGTATAAAACTGCAACTAAAAATGGCAGCATTGACGCAAAAAAAAGAATATATGCAATTTTTAGATATAATTTTTGATTTCCTTTTAAGTTAGAAACTATTTTTATATTTTCGTATTGAACCCATTTTATTTTGCTTAAATTCGATTTTTAATTTATCTGTGTCCTTACTCTTTGAATCAATACAAAATTAACTGACTGTATACTACTATTTCAGAACATATTAAATGGAAATACGACTTAGCATTAGTAATATGCACGTCGAAAAGATTGAATTTTAGATATTGTAATTATGCAAGAGTATTGATTCTGAACAAGAGACTGTACCGCACGTCAACTTTTTCAACGAACTAAATCATCTCTGAATGCTCCTGTAGACTTTTCTGATTACGTATATTAACAAAAGAATAAAATAATGTAACAAATGAGTTGATTATATGCGTAATGATGCATTTATAAAATATATACAGTACGTATGTAATTGAACAAATCAAATCTAGTATTTTTGTACGGTCCTGAAGCAAATTTAGAAAAATAGAATAAATTTTGAGTAGAAGTCAATAAACAATAATTACCAGGATCTCTAGTTTTTTTTTTAAACTAATAAATTAAATTAGCAACATCAAATATGTAAAATGTATAAACTTCTTTACTAAGAGATAAATACAAAATTTAATTTGTGAATATGCTCAGAAAAGACCTATGCTATCATATTCATGGATTAAAATTTGTATTTACTTCTTAGTAAAGAAGTTTATACATTTATAAAATACAAATGATTGACGACTTTAGATGTTATGCACCATAATAAATTTTTCTAACAAAGCGCAGCGTTCTTTTTATTTATGTATTTTATTTTATCTTGAATCTGTAGTTTTTTTTTTTGTAAAACACTTGATATATCTTCATTCTCTTCTCTTTGGTTTCATCTTTGATTCGTATACATGTAGTTGAATTTAAATTACAAAATAGATTTTAATTAATGTAAATATTCGAAATAGAAATGATCTCTATCATTTGGGATTGAAACTGAAAATTTGACTTTTGTAAATTGATTATTGTTTTTTTTGTTAGCGATGTTTTTTGCAATTTCATCTTTCATTAATTTATTAAAGCTCTGTTCAGGTCGAGTCGGGTTTGAGGTCAACCTGATCGATAAATTCGGGTTTGATCAAAAAATCGTCAAATAGTTTTTCGTTGAAAACTTTTATTTTTACTAAGACACTTGTATTTGTGTCTGAAGTTGAAGTAAGTTGTTCGGAATATGATTGCGTATACATTTACAAATTTTTGTTCAATTGTATTAATATTGAATGATTTTTAGTCTATTTTAGGGTTCTTATGGTATTTTATCCATTACAGTCAACTCTTGATATAGTGAAGTTGAGCTCAAAAACAATGTATATTAATTCCTCTCGATATAGTGAATTTATTAATAAACTCTCGATATAGTGAATTTTTGAAAATTTTTCACTAATAGCCCGATCACTTTCACTATAACGAGGTTTGACTGTATCCATAAACAATTGAAGATTTTTCAAATAGATATATAATTTTGATCATATGGTATGTGACGTTATCCTTTTATAAAGTTTGAATTCCAATTTCGAATCAATTCATACCAAGATTAATTATATCAAAAATTTCATATTAAACTAAATTTCATATAAATTAATCAAATTTATTTAAGATTATATAACCAATCAAATATAATAATATAACTGTAATTAATTTTTTATATTTAATCCAAAGCAAGTCAATATATACAGTTATCATAATAGTAAAGCCTGATAAAAAATTCATAAAAAGTTTATTCATTATATTTTTAATAGTTGGTTTTACTGATAATAGAAAAATTTTTTTTATAGCTGAATATTTTAAATAATATAACCATTTATATTACTTTAAAAAACTAGTAAAATCATTTTTTATAAAAAATTAAAATTTCTAAATTATTAAAATTTTTATTTTTTATTTTATATTAGATCATCTAATAAAAAAATTAATTTTTAAATCACATAACTAGCAAAAATAACTTGGCTAACCAACAAAAATTATTATATAGTAGCAATTAGAAATAATGCAATGATATCAAAATTTATTAAATAAATATAGATTTTTTTTCTTATATAAAGTTTTTAATTTACTAATAAATATTTTTTATTTTTATATTAAAATGAAGATAATATCACATATTTTAACATATATTTTTTCAGATTTTTTAGATTTAATCTGATAAAGCTATTTTAATTGCATATAAAATCAATTATTTTTTTATAATTAAAACATATAAAAAAATAATTGATTTTATATGCAATTAGAACAGCTTTATCAAATTAAATCTAAAAATTTGAAAAAAATATATATTAAAATATGTAATATTATCTTCATTTAAATATAAAAATAAAAAATATTAATTAGTAAATTAAAAATTTTATATAAAAAAATCTATATTTAATTAAAAAATTTTTTATTTATAAGTGTAATTAGAAATTTAAAGCAAGTTTTATTTTGTTTAAATACAAAAAAATTCAAAATTCAAAAACTATTTAATAATTATAATTTTTATGTAAATTATTTTTTTACAAATATATATTTCTATAATATATTATTAGAAATTTAAAAATAAATTTGTCATTTTAAATTCTGATATCCTAATATTTAATGTTTCTATTTGAACAAAAATATTACTATTAGATTCTTTCAACTATATAAATATATCAGAATTCAAAGTAACAAATTCATTTTTGAAATTTCTGGTAATATATTATAAAAGTATATATACTAAATCACTTTTATAAATAATATTTGTTTTATTTTAATATTATTATTTTTTATTGATAAATCTATTATTATTTTTCTTTTTCTATTATTATATTTTATTGATAAATATATTATTAAATATAAGTATATTATTTTAAATAATTTTAGATATTTCTAATTTTATAAATTAATAATATTTTGATATAGATAATATATATTTAGTAAAATATATAATATTATTATTAATTATTTATATATATTATATTATATAATATAATATATATAATTTATATAATTTAGTTCTAATAAAAAAATATTTTATTATCTTTTTAATATTTTTATTAGTATCTCAAAATAAATTTAAATATTTAATTCTTATATTTTGTTTTATTAGTTAATTATTATGTGATTCTATACAACTTTAACAGATCTTTTTAATTACTAATTAATAATGATCATATTAATTATATAAGTAATAGTAAAATTATTTAACTTTGAATTATTATTAAAAATTATTTACAAAAAATTTAAAAATATAGTATTGTTTAATTTGAATAGCTTTATTATTTCGAGGTTAGATTTAATATATATCTTTTTTTTGAGCAAATAATAATTTGAATTTTAGTTATTGAAACTAAGTTGTATATACTAAAGATGGCGTGGCAATTATTGCAATGTGATGACAAATAAAGCATCAATTAGTTGCAATTTATAAAATTTTAGAGTTGCAATGTGTTGTAATAGATAACAAATAAGTGTCACATACTTGTTGCGCCATCTCTAGTACCATTATATATGATAAATAATATTTTTTTGACTTGGCTGGATAAAATAATATAGTTGGATAAAATGATATAGCTAAATATTGAGAACCAATTTTTTTTATTGAGAGAGATCTTTATTTGTTATATTTTTAAAATAAATATATTTGTAACAACTGTTATTTTCATATTTTAATTCGCTAATTAGAATCTGAGTTAGTTAGGATTAAATATTTTAGTGGTTAATATTAAAGTTATTATATATAACTAGTAAATTTCTTCAAACAATTATTTTATTAAAATAATAGCATTAAATTTTACTTGTATATTCTGTATACTCTAAATACACATAAGAGACGTGAATTTTAGAAAATATACGAATAAATAAATAAATTTTGCATTAAAATAATAAATATGCAGGTATGTAAAACCACTTTTTGTTATTGTATACAGTATGGTACATAAAATCTAAAGTCATCAAACGTTTGTATTTTACAAAATGGATAAACTTGTATTTACTTCTTATAAAGAAGTTTATACATTTTGTAAAATACAAACGTTTGATGACTTTAGATTTTATGCACCATATTTAATGTTGATATGGATATCGATTTAATAATTTCAGGATTATAATCTTTAATGTTTTTAGACTAAAAACTCAAACTGAGTTCATAAAGTTTAGCACCAAGTAAAAGTAACTACAATTTTCTTTGGTGAAAAGAATATTGTTTTAATAATATCTTTTATTGTAGTTCGTCATGAATTTGTAACTTTCCTTAAATAACTTCTATATGTCTTTTAATTTCATCCAAATCTGTAATTTCAAATGGTATCGATATGCTGAGACCTGAATCTGTAAAAAATAGAATGAATTAATGAATTTAATAAAAAAATAATACAGTGTATGGGTAAAATTTGATGAAGTGGATCCGAAGATATAAGTTCAAATCTATCTTTAGCACGACCAAGTTCACTATCATTACGCATTTACCAAGCTGAGATTTTTGCTGTGGAACTTATCACATTGAAAAATTATTACGACTTTTTGATCAAATAATATCAGTTTGTGAATCTATTTCCTGGCAAAGAAATTTGAAAAAGAATGAAAACACTTTTACACGCTTCCTATAATACAATGGATTTGCAGTTGCCATGCCTTTCTATTAAATCGACAGTCATTACACTATCATTTAATATTTCAAAGTCTGATTTAGATGTAACTCTACTTTTTTTAAGACTGTATCTCGACAAGAAGTATGTATTATTATGAAAACATAATCGTGGGAAGATTTAAAAAGTACTTTTATTTACATATGTAACTAGTTTTTTTATCTACTCTAACGAATATTGGATAGAATATTATTCCTCCTTTCCACCATCTAATCTTGTTATTCAATCAGTATGTTAATTTCAAGACCTAGTTGTACTATGGAGTGTGTATTCAACCTTCAATCATCTGATACATTTATCTGCCGGTTCTTCAGCTGTGCTTGGTTGGAAATGTGTTCAGCGATATCAGCGATCAAAGGTTGTTTGCGCGTGTAGCCAGAATTATAGTGTTCACAATACAATTTGTTGTTTAGTGTTGTAATGATGAATATCGAAAAAAAAGTGGCAACTACTTTATACTTAAGCTTTATAAATTAAATTAACAAATATCTTTTTAGTCAAAACAGTTTCTTGAAGGAATTAATCGCTTGTGTTTAGAGTCAAGCACAGCCAACCAAAAACGGTTTATTACACCCTTACGTTTAGCACTGATTTCTGTTCCGAGATCGGTCAGTATAAACTAATCTAGCCTTATTAAATTAACACTAATATTAATATCACTCGATATCGATATTCTTAGTTAATTGATTACGGTATCAGTGTCACCCATTGTTTAGAACTGGACTAAGTCCAATCCAATTAATAATTCATGGTATATATAAAAAACTCGAAAGAATATTTATTATGAGGAGATTGATTATGTTGTTGCCAAGATACTAAATTATTGATGAAACACTTACTAATAACAAAATGAACTATACAAAAGACTACCTAGCTAACGAACATCCGAAAAAAAACTAGAAATTGTTTACTTAATCACAAACTAACAATTACATGTAATAATCAAACTATGTTATTTAATTGTCTGTTTCTTTGTCGCCAGATTTACTAAATTCGTTCTCTTTATCCTTATTTTCTTTAATTAACCAGAGTAGGCAAACCACAACCTACAGGGATTAGTACAAAGAATTAAACAAAAAGCGAGCACCTGACTATTAAAAGGGAAGATGGTCTACCAGCTGGATATGATGTCTTTCTATCCGAAATGTTCAACTAATGTCTGACAAACGTCCAAATTGTTTGTTCAACATTATTTTATACATGTAAATGGTAAACATTTTTATTTAATGACCAATCAAATCGCAGGATCATCTGTAACAGAAAAATTCAAAACAAACGTCTGTTTTTTTGGAAAATAGCTTGTACATGTATCTCGAAATCTTGTCTATGAAACCGTCTCTGATGTTCTAACAAAAAGATTCCTTGTGAATTTTATATAATCTAACGCGCATTATAATATAATATAATCTTAACTCTAACCTTATTCCTAACCACAATCGAAATGGTATTAATATTTTTATATTTTGTAATTTGGTTGGTTACTCCTAAAAATCACGTGTTTGTAAATTTATGGCTACTACTTGTAGTACAAAACGAAAATTCGAACGTTTATCGTTATATTCAACATATCGATATGTCTAATATTTGTCACACAGAAAATTGCTACTTTTGTTGAAAAACAAAACAATTTGGACATTTGTCGGACATTAGTTGAACATTTTTTTTAGGGAACCATGTTGAGTGTGAATTGAATGAGCGATTTAAGGTCATGTTTAATTTAGGAGCCAATGATATTTTTGATATGTACAGTTGGTTACATAGACAAAAAACCTGAAAATGTGAGTTTGGGATTCTATAGAGGTTTTAATGTGATGGGAGTCAGACTATACATTTGATTTTTCTCTATATCAACTCCGCCTTGGTGAAGTTCTTGTTAATCCTGGCAATATTAATTTCATGGGTGTTAATATTGGCTTGTTTATAATTTTTTTAAGCATTCAACATTCGCCTTTATAATAAATCATCAACTGTGTAGTAAAAGTCCAACTTTTCGTTCCTCAAATCACAAATACTCGCTATTATACTAAATAACCTGAGAATAATCACGCTGTAGAATAAATTTGGGAACTCATAAATAAAAATTGCCGATCAACTTTGAGAATTTACACTTTGCAAAGGAATTTGTCAAGAAAAAGAAAGTAGATATTGAATATAATAATAATACGTTCACTCTAAAATGGGAATTTACATTGACTCTTGACGATTGACAATTCCACAGCAGATGACTTGAAATGGTCCAAATGACCCACGATCAGTCATTTCAAAAGTTAAATGACTCATGATCTAGGTCATTTAACTTTTATCCGATAAAATGTTTAGAAATTGACATCAAAAATATAAATAAAAATGACTCACTGATACTCCATTTGTTAAATGGCCTAGTGGCCAAATGAGTCATTGGAGGTCATTACCATCACTGGTATCGGTATTACATGTATTGAAATCCGAAAAATTTACAGACGGAATTCTTGAATCAGAAAATCTCCGGAAATTTTCCATTTGATAATTTCGTCTGGAAAATTTTTGAGTACAAGAGCTGCGCATTCTATAAACAAACGCCGGAAACACCAATTGCTTGTTGAATTTAAAAAACTTTATTATAAAGAAGCATTTTCTATGTTCCTGCGAAAAAGATAATTTGAAAATGATTAAATTTATTACAAACATATCTTTCTCTAATTTTAACAAAGAAAACGATAATTTTAACAAAGAAAACGTTCCGGTTATCGAAGAAATATTTATTTTATTTGATGAAATGATTCATTCTTTACAATGTTTAAATGAAACTGCAAATAAAATGCAAACAATTATTGAAAAATTACCAGAATGTAACAAATTCTTGCAAAACTTGAAGTCAGATATTCGATATAATGTCCTATATGGTTTTTTGCATCATTTTGGGATAAAAACTGAACAGAATTTTGAAATCGCTTTTAAAATTTATGAAGCATCGGCAAAGAAAAATAACGCGATTGCTCAATATTTACTCGGATTTTGCTACTACAAAGGAATTGGTACACTTAAAGATAAAAGCAAGGCCGTTGAGTGGTATTTGAAATCGTCTGAGGGGGGAGATACTAGAGGACAATGCAATCTTGGTCTTTGTTATCAAAATGGTACCGGGACACAAAAAGATGAAAAAAAAGCATTTGAGTGGTATTTGAAATCAGCAGAGGGTGGAGATGCTAGAGGACAGTATAATCTTGGTTTCTGTTATCGGAATGGTATTGGGACGCAAAAAAATGAGAAAAAAGCTTTTGAGTGGTATTTGAAATCAGCAGAGGGTGGAAATGCTAGGGGACAATGTGACCTTGGTTTCTTTTATCGAAACGGTATTGAGACGCAAAAAGATTACAACAAAGCTTTTGTGTGGTATTTAAAATCAGCAGAGAGTGGAGATGCTAAAGGACAGTATAATCTTGGTTTCTGTTATCGGAATGGTATTGGGACGCAAAAAGATGAGAAAAAAGCTTTTGAGTGGTATTCGAAATCAGCAGAGGGTGGAGATGTTAGAGGACAATGCAATCTTGGAGTTTATTATCAAGATGGTATTGGAACGCAAAAAGATGAGAAAAAAGCTTTTGAGTGGTATTTGAAATCAGCAAAGGGTGGAGATGCTAGGGGACAATGCAATCTCGGCTTTTGTTATCAAAATGATATTTGGACGCAAAAAGATAACCAAAAGGCATTTGAGTGGTATTCAAAATCGGCAAAAGGGGGTAATGCTAAAGGACAGTACAACCTTGGTTTTTGTTATCGAAATGGTATCGGGACGCAAGGAGATATCAAAAAAGCTTTTGAGTGGTATTTGAAATCAGCAGAAGGCGGTGATGCTAGAGGACAGTGTGAACTTGCTTTCTGTTATCAAAATGGTATTTGGATGCAAAAAGATGACAAAAAAGCATTTGAATGGTATTTAAGGTCCGCTGAATCTGGGCTTGAGTTCTCTCAGTTTAAGTTGGCTGAATGCTATCAATATGGATTTGGCGTTTCAAAAGATCTTTTTATGGCGTTAAAATGGTACAAAGAATCTTACAAAAACGGTCATCATCTAGCGAAAGAATACGTTAGGAAAAATATATTTATTTTATGATTATTCGTTATCTTAGTTTATTGTAATTTATAAATTTTAGTACATTTACATATTCTTTTTTACATGTATGAGATATGAATAAGTTTTGTATATAGAGTCAACTCTATTATAGTGAATGTATCTATATCGAGAGGATTTATTATAGATTGCTTTCACTATATATCAAGAATTTAATTAGTCTTATTTTATCGTGCAATCGTTATATCAGTATCTTTGTATCTATATAATCACAGATAGAGTGATTATATGAGATGTGATTTTATAGATTGACTTCTTTATAATCCTCGTTATAGCTTTAAATATATGCGCTTTTGTTTTATTTCAAGAAGCACGCCAGATAATACTTAAACATATGCTCCACTCCGGAGTAGTGTCCAAATGGGTTCTGTTTTGGATTCAAAGTTCGTATTGATGTCGTCATTTTTGACGTCTTAATGTAAAATTTTTCAGAATGTAGATTTTACATTTGCCTGAAATTGTAATCTTTCCGAAACAGTACTCCGAATGGGATATTTGTTTTAATATAATCTGGAGCACACCATTAACAACTCCTACAAAACACAATTTGATCAAGGTAACTTACAGAATTTGGGGATTTACTAATAAAAAGTTGGTCACAGTGCAGTTCACTTAGTTACAACAATTGCTGCGCCACCGGCCAAATTTTCAGTTGTACATGTATATCAATATCAAATCAGGTATTGATTAATGATACCTGACGAAA